ACGTTCTGAGCGATAGGGCTGAGCGCCCAGGGACACACCGAAACCTGTTCTGGACTAAGCTTCTTTATGGGGAGTTGCTTTCTCTCACACGCATCCTTCAGGCTTCGGGGGGGGGGGGGCAAACTAGGTTTATAAAAATACTACACCCACATCCATTGTGTAATGGAACGTTCTCAGGACTGCTGCTGCTAGGCGGATCTGTAGTGAGTGCCCGGGGGTCGTGCTCTTACCCCTTTGGTCAGGGTTAACCTACTTTTGTTTTAACATGAGGAATCTGGATTTCAGAGAGGCGGCCCGACCTACCCTAGGTCATAGCCAGGTAATGTTTGTATTTCTATTTTAAAGATGAGACACTGAGTTCCCCCAGAGGTGAGGAAACAGAAAGGAGGACTGGGATATCCCCACGTGTGTAGGATTCACTGCCAGGAGTTGTTCCAAGTCCTTCTGTGGTTCTCAAAGCTGGTGAGGGGATCTGAATCACCTGGAGGATGCTTTTTTAAAAATACTTTTTTTTTTTTTTTATAGTGCTGGACCCCAGGGCCTTGTGCCTGCTAGGCAACCACACTACCACAGAGCCGCACCTCCAGCCAAAGCTTTAAAATTTAAAACACAGACAACTGAGCTCCAGCACTCTGGGTTTTCGGTTCCCTAGGTCAAGGATGAAGCCAAGACGTCTGTTTCTAACAAGACCCACGTGGTACTGATGCTGCTGGTTGGGGGGGCCATGCTTTGAGAACCTCTGTGACCTGACCTCACCAGACCAGCCTTCAGTGGCCTAGAGCTTGCTCTCTAAGGTCATCAGAGTGCCCTGGAGACAACCATCATAACATCCTGAGACCTCCAGGAAGCTCCACCTGTAGGGGAACCGCTTAATTGGGTTCAGGGGATGAAAATTTCACAGTATGTAACCACAAGGGCACCTGTCAGATCTCCAGAAGGATAAGTCCAGGGTGTTAATGAGCTTCTGGCTACTGGCATGGAGCTCAAGTGGGGTGGAGGCAGGCAGGGCTTTGCCAGGAATAGGGAGATTTTCCTCCTTGAGAATGGATCAGTGTGCAGTGCTGGGAGCTGGGCTAGGTCTAGAGACAGATGTCCAAGCTCAGCGGAGGCACTGGAGATGGCCAGGGTTGCTCCCAGACACTTCCCAGGGACAGACTTTGGAAAATGAGCTCATTTGAGGGCCAAAGGAAGCAGGGTGGTGGGGGGCCGGACAGGCTGGGGTCTAGACCGAGAGGTTCTGGCAATGTTCTCTGCTTATCCACACCCACAGACGTTCCCTAGTCATAGGGACTGATTCAGGGTTGAGGCTCAGCCGGGTGAGCTGCCTCAGAAGGGTCCCAAAAGGCCTCTCCTAGGTGCCGCAGTCTGGCTGGGCACACAATCACGAGCCACCACACAGCTTGTAGATTCAAACAGCAACTCTTTATTCCCGAACTCACACCAGCCGTCTACAATCACGTTCTGGGGATATCCACGTTCTCTGCCCAAATCCACCTCCACTGGGCTTCTATCTCCAAAATATATTGTCTGAATCCCATGAGAACTCAAGGGGAACTCAGGCAGCAGGATACGCCCTATTCCCAGCAGGAATAATCTTAAACCTTAAACCTGGAACCTAAACCGGGAACACCCTAATCCGCCTTGGTCCTTGAACAAGGTCACCTACATTCAATGTCACTGCAACATGGGGTACGCTGGCAAGGAAATTGTCATACCTACTTGGCTAATGGCTCCCAGCACCTAGGGTTCTTTCTGGAGGGGCCTGGAGAAGGCCTTCCAATGCAGCATTGCCTGCTGCAGGCAGGACCCTGTCGTCTGATGTCAGGACCTACCCTCTCTTCCCTTTCTGCTTCCTATAAATATTTATTCATTCCATTATTGTCGATTGTTTATTGAACTCTTGACTGTGGTGGGGCACTCACAAAATACCAGGAACGCTGCCACCAAGACAGGAAGCTGACTTTTAAGTGCAGGCAAAAAGACAACCGTCCTGAAAACAAAGACAAAAAATATTGAAGAACATAAACCGAACACTGTAAGAGTTAATAGTGAGGCACCTGCTTTGAGTAGACTGATCAGGTGGGACTTCTCCAGGAAGACAGTGTTTAAGCTGAAAGCTAAAGGAGAGGAAGAACAAAGGTCCTGGGGTTAGGAAAAGCAAGAGTGTGCCAGAACCTAGAGGAGGTTGGAGTGGCAGAGCGAATGGGCAAGGGGAGTATGGCCACGCCTGAGATGTCAACAGGGATTAGACCACGCAGTGTGTTGGAGGTCGTGGTGAAGAGTGTAGGTCCTATTTAAAATGCAACCAGGGATCTAGATGATGCTCATTAGTGACTGCTGAACATGTTAAGTAAAAAGCTTATGGGGAATTTGACAATGGAGGATTAGGCTGACATCATCTGAACCCACTGAAGCTTAGCATCACCAAGTGAGAGACCAGCAGACACAATCCGTTCAAGCCTCTAGATCTAACTCCTGATTACAGAAAATACAGGTGCAGAAAGCACAGCATGTAAAATGTCATCATGAGGGAACAATCAGCAAAAGCCAGTCTGTAAGAAACTCTACAGATCTAATCTTTATGACCAATAAATAGCAGGAGGGAAAAGGGGGGTATCTGTCAATCAAAAGAGATTTAGGAGGACAGCAACCAAGTACAATGTGAGGATGTTGGCAGATTTTATAATAATGGACCTTCATGAATCACCCTGTCAGGTCTCAACCCTTTTACAACCTAATGTTGCTGTTCTTCCTATCAAGAGCGTAGAAACGGTTTCTCCACTGGCTTGAATCTGGGCTGCCCTTGAAATTTGCTTTGGCCAATTGAATATGGCACAAGTGATATGAAAATTCCAGCCTAGAGCTTCTTTGTTTGCTTTCTTGGACTCCTGAGAGCACCCTTCTCTGAAGGAGCCCTGTCTAACCTCTTGGAGGAGAAGAGGCCATTGGAGGGCTGAGACTCCCCAGCCCATAGCCAGCACTAACTGCCAACCCATGAGGGAGGTCATCCTGGACCCTCCAGCCCCAGTTAAGCTATCCGATGGCTGCAGCTTACATGAGGGATCCCGACAGAGACCTGCAGAAGAACCCTCCTGATGTCAAGCCAAGGTGCCATGCCACTAAATATGAGGGTGCTTTGCCACATAATAATAGGTAATAGAAACAGAAATCTTGTTTGAATCCTCACTCAAACTATTTAAAAAAAATTATGAATCAATCAGGGAGTTTTTAATGTTGGATGCTAGGTATTTGATAATATCATAATGTGATTGTTAATTTTGTCAGGTTTGATAATGGTGTGATCATGGCTTTCAAAGAATTTTTTAGGGGCCTTATTTTTCAGAAATGGAAATGTTTGTGGATAAAAAGGAATGATGTCTGGTACGTACTTCAGAATCATCCAAAAGTGGGAATATGGATAAAACAAGGTTGGCCTTGATCATTGTTGAAAGTAGATGATGTACATATGAGAATTCTTTACACTATCCTCTCTTGTAATGGCTCATTAAAGTTTATACTGCAGAGTTAGTTCATTGTAATAGTTTCTCTTGTACCTATTTAATATTTTCTATAATAAAGATGTTTCGGTGCAACTGAAAATCCTACAAGGCCTACCCAGGGCAGTGTGATCCCCTCTCACCATGAGCTGGAACTTTCTGGCTTTTCCTCCTCCAACCCCACCAGAGGATCCCCTGTGATCCCCTCTGGTCCCTGTAGCCCTGATGGTGCCAGCTCATTGTCCCTGCTCTCCCAGGTATCTCTAGCTCCCAGGTCCCAAACCTCCAATGGGCCTGCCAGCCAGTGGCTAAGCTCTGGGTGTGACAGGAAAAGACTCCTCAGAGACTCTCCGTCCCCTAGAATGGGCTACATTCAGTCCCAGAGGAAGGCAGGAGGAGAGTCTGTGAAACAACATCATGAGTCACCACAGCTAATGACTTCCCAGAAGATCTGTGGTTGGACACTGAGCCGCTCCCTTCAAAACATGGCTGGGGAGACACCAGCTCAAGCCTGGTCCGCAGTCAGAAACACAGAGCAGGACCACCACCTGGGCTGCATGTCACTGTGGGACCAGGAACACAGGATATGTACGGTTCCCACCTGCGCGCCTGTTGGTACAAGGAGAGGGAACAATGCCACCGGCAAGTGCTAAAGCCACAGAAGAGGACGTCTAAGTCCATTTTCTGTTGCAATAACAAAATGCCCAAGATGAAGTAATTTATAAAAAATTAGAGGTTTTTAGCTCACGGTTCTGGAGGCTGGGAAGTCCAAGAGCATCGGACCAGCATCTGGTAAAGCCTTCTTGCTGCATCATTATAGGGCGAGGAATCATATGATAGAGCAAGTTTACTAGCTCGGCTCTCTCTTTCTCTTCCCCTATAGCATGAATTCCATCATGGGGGCCCCACCTGTGACCTCATCTAATCCCAATTTACCTCCCACAGGCCCCACCTCCAAACACCCCGAATATATGATGTGGGGGATTTAGATTCCAACACATGGACTTTGAAAAGAAACATTCAGACGACATCAAGGAGTCAACCAACAGGATCGAGTTGTCCCTCTTAGGAGAAAAACGACACAAATAAAAAACAGTTGCTGGCAGAATTGGGGCAGGCAGGAGGGAGCCAGAAGACTAATACTCGGACCTATCTCTCCTCCTGCCCTTCCATCTCCTTCAGCACTTGCCACTGGCTGAACCCAGCTAGGAGCCAGAGGGCAAGAGAACCCGGGTGAAGCAGTCCTTAACTTGAGTCTTAAAGCACAGAGCAAGGCCCAGAAGGACGGAGCCTCCAGAGGGGTGGGGAGGAGTTTTGATGGAGGATAACCAATATTGGGGAGTAAGTCTTGGGCAAGACAGTATGAGATCAGTGTGTTGGAAGCTGGGCATTGGTGCTGTCCAGTCGCCATTGGTGTTGAGCATGTGACCAGGGCACCAGGGCCTGCCCAGGGTGAGGCACACAGGTGGGTACTCATCCATAAAGTGAGGTTCATCTCTTCAGCCTGACTCCTCTGCTCCTTTGGTCCTAGGGGAGCCCTCCCAACCTCCCAATGGCAGCTGGCCCCAAAGTCAGAATGGGAGTGAAGCTGAGGTCACCCCGGCTGCCAACCTCACCTTCTCCTCCTACTACCAGCACTCTTCACCGGTGGCCGCCATGTTCATCGTGGCCTACGTGCTCATCTTCCTCCTCTGCATGGTGGGCAACGCCCTGGTCTGCTTCATTGTGCTCAAGAACAGGCACATGCGCACCGTCACCAACATGTTCATCCTCAACCTGGCCGTCAGCGACCTGCTGGTGGGCATCTTCTGCATGCCCACCACCCTTGTGGACAACCTCATCACGGGTGAGTGTGGACAAGGGGCCGCGGGAGTGTCCCCTGCCCCGCCCCCCCCACCCAACTTCAGCTAAAGCCTGAAACAAACGCATGGAAGACAGATCTCTGCTGGGCTGGGCTCTTGGCTAAGATGCCATTGTCTCAAATTCTCAAGATGGTTTTGTGGCTGAGGGATTAGACTAGAAATAATAGATACAATGGATTAATCATTTTTCTTTGTGCCAGGCATTATGTTACATATGCTTCATGCATTATCTTAATTAATCCCCACAGCAATTCAACCAAGCGTGCTTTGTGATTATCCTCATTTTATGGATGGGGGAAGCATTCCCCGAATGGTTAAGAGATTGGTTTGTAGTTACAAAACTAATAAGTGTCACAGCCCACCTCCTCACACCCCTAAGAAGCTCCCACGGGCAGAAATAGAACTAATGAGAAGAAATGGTAGAGAGCAGGTTTCCTCTGAACAAGGACCTAAAATTCTGCTTATTTGAGTGATTCTCCCCAAAAGAGGGTCCTGTCGTGTAGGTAATGAACTCCTTGTTTCTGGGAGCGTCTAGGGACTGGCTAGGCACTACGGAGGGATCTGTAGAAGGCAATAAGCAGAACTCTGGCTTCTAAATTCTTGCCTGTGCGTCAGGCAGATGTCTGAAAGCCTCCACCAGCACGTACTCTCTTGTGATTGGCTCGTCTTGTTTTAGAATCGGTTCCTTGGGACTCCAGATGGGGAGGAATTGCTTTCCAGAGCTGTGGCGACCCCTGCAGGTCAGAGCCTACAGTTGCTTGAGCCAGCGCTCCCAGGAGCTCCAGTTGCAGATCCCCCTGCTTGGAGTGATGCACAGAGGGAGCCGCAGCTTGAGTTTCTGTGGCTTCTGAGCCCCAGGAAGTGGAGCCAGGGCAGAGTCCTGGTTCTTCCTGGTGGAACCTTGATTCACTGCTGAGTCCCAGATTCCTTCAGGGATGCTGACCATAAACTCTGCATCCGGCCCCCACAAACATACACGTGCGCTTTTGCGCACACGTGCGCGCACCATAAACACACACACTGGTGGACAGCAACATAGTGAGGCTACCAGTTGGTGAAGCTGGTGTCTTCCAGTCCTTTTCACACAACTACATTAAAAAAAAAAATGCTAGAATAAGCCAAACATTCACATGATTCATTAAATCAGAAGCTACCAAAGGTGACCAGCGAAAAATCTCCCTTCCACCCCTGTCCTCCAGCCAGGCCTCCTCTCCTGGGGAGGAAGTGTCCAGTTTCTGGGTTTCTTTACAAAAGTATTTTTTTAAGTAAATACGAGTAAATTAAAGAAATGAAGGCGGGCATGGTGGTGCACACCTATCATCCCAGTTACTCAGGAGGCCAAGGCAAGAGGATCCCAAATTCAACACAGCCTGGGCAACTTTGTGACACCCTGTCTCAAAAAATAAGAAGAGATGGGTTCAATCCCCAGTACTGAAGAAAAGAAAAAAAGAAAGGCTACATTTCCGTTCAGTTTTATGCCTTTTTCCCCACCCCTACTTAAAACTGGATCATGTTTGTTGTAAATAAGAACCATTAAACCAATTTACATGTTAATATTTCATACTAATAAATAAAAGAGTTTCTCATTCTTTTTTACAACTGCTACGAATTGCATGGCATGGATGTAGTACAAATTTATTTTTGATGGTATTTAGGTTGATTCTAGTAGAATCTTTTACAATTAAGTAAAACTTCAGTTTTTCCTTCCCTTCCCCTCCCTCCCTCCCTCCCTCTCTTCCCTCTTTCCTTCCTTTCCATGCAGAGGGCTGACATGGGTGCCACAGTTCATAGCACTGTGTGACTTCACTTTGTTGTGAAGTTCCTCATTTATATTTTGTTTATTTATTTGTTCCCTTCATTATTCCTGTACCACTACATCTCCCTTCTCTGATCCATGGAATGTCATCCTATTATCTTTAATTTGTCTTTATTTTTATACATTCTTATCAGGGCTCCATGGTGCACTCCTATAATTTCAGCCGCTTGGGAGGCTGAGGCAGGAGGATCATGAGTTCAAAGTCAGTCTCAGCAATTTAGTGAGGCCCTAAGAAACTCAGCGAGACCCTGTCGCTAAATAAATTACAAAAATAGGGCTGGGGATGTGGCTCAGGGGTTGAGTGCCCCTAGTTCAATCCCTGGTACCCCCCCAAAGTATTCACATTTAAATTATTTTTAAAGATATAATTTAACATACGACAAAATCTACCCTTTGGGGAAGAGTTCCACAAGTTTTGATGAAAACAGTCATAGTTACCATCACAATCAATACATGGAAAAATTTTGTCAGCCCAAGAAGCACCCATGTTCCTTTGTATTTGGCCCCTCCCCCTATTCCCTGGAATCAGCAATCAGTTTTTGTAGGGACAGAAAATTCCGTTTTGGCTTTTGCAAGGAGGTCATATAAATAGACTCATACAGTACATAAGCTTTTGAACCTAGTGGGCTTTTGTTTTGTTTTCCTTTTATTTTTATTTATTTATTTGTTTACTTTTTGGTACCAGGGATTGAACCCAGGGATGTGAAACCACTGAGCCAACCTTTTTTTTGTATTTATATATGCTGTAGCTGAACACAATATCTTTATTTTAATTATTTATTTTTATTTTTATGTGGTGCTGAGGATTGAACCCAGTGCCTCATGCATGCAAGGCAAATGCTCTACCACTGAGCTACAACCCCAGCCCCCTTTTTTGTTTTTCATTTAAAGACAGGATCTCACTGCGTTGCTTTGGGCCTTGCTAAGTTGCTGAGGCTGGCTTTGAACTTGCAATCCTTCTGCCTCAAACTTCAGAGCTGCTAGGATTATAGGTGTATGCCATCTGGCTCTTTTCCTTTTATTTTGAAATATCTTTAGACTTAAAGAAAATTTGCAAAACTAATACAGAAAGGTCCCAGGTACCCTTTATCTACCTTTTATTTAGGATATTTAATATGCGTAAATAACCATAATATAATAATCCAAACTAGGAAATAAGCATTTATATACTATTAACTGATCTTTAAACTTTATTTGAATTTCACTAGTTTTCCCACAAATGTCCTTTTCTAGGGATTTGAGCCACAGTCCTGAACCCATAACCCGGAATGTTGGAATCCCAAAAGATTTCTAAAGCCTGAAATCCCCCAAGAGCAAAATCTAGAAAATCGAATTTTGAAAAAATTAATTTAAAAATTTCTTTAATATACATTTTGTTTGCAATTTTAAAGGCAAATTTATTTGAGAAACACATAAAAACACTGCAGACCACATCAAAGGCACTTTACACAATAAATAGGCAATAATAATAGGCACACAAAAACTAAGGTACACTAATGGCAGTCACAGGGTATAACAGTTTTGAGCACATGAATCATATTCATAAAGAAATCAGTCAAAAAGAGAAATTATATAAACACATACCACTAAGATTGGTAATTATGTGCACACAGCTGTATAACTGCAATCATGATGCATCACCAGAATACATGCCGCTGCCCAAAGAAATCTTGAGAAATTTATCTTTCACAAATGCACGTGTACAAACAGGACATCTTGTCATCTATTGAGGATATTGCAAAGTTTTTATGTACACATGTAATGCTTAGACATAAAGCCAGTACAGTGGTGGTGTGCTTTTTTGGAGTCAATTTTGCAAAAAAAATGCACAAGACAAAGCAGAACTCTCTAAGGTTTTGTGTGTGTGTGTGTGTGTGCGTGTGTGCATGTGTGTGTTCTGGGGATTGAATCCAGGGCCTTGTGCATGCAAGGCAGATACTCTATCAACTGAGCTACATCCCCGGCCCCTCTCTATATGATGTGTACCTCTAGTATTGCAAATGAAGAGAAGAAGAAATACGTAGCACAGTGAATTTTAAAGAATACTGCTGACAGCTGGGTATGGTGGTGCACGCCTGTAATCCCAGCAGCTGGTAGGGCGGGGGGCCTGAGGCAGGAGGATTGCGAGTTCAAAGCCAGTCTCAGCAACAGCAAGGTGCTAAGCAACTCAGGGAGACTCTTTCTCTACATAAAATACCAAATTGGACTGGGATGTGGCTCAGTGGTTGAGTGCCCGTGAGTTCAATCCCCAGTACCTGCCCCCCCGCAAAAAAGAATACTGCTGACAATATTAAATAGTGGGAGAAATTTAAAGAAAAAAAAGAAAATTCAATATAGCTGGGTGTGGTGGTGCATGCTTGTAATCCCAGAGACTTAGGAGGTTGAGGCAAGAGAATCTCAAGTTGAAGGCCAGCCTGAGCAACTTAGCAAGACTCTGTCTTAAAATAAAAAAATAAAAAGTTCTGGAGATGTACAGTGGTAAAGCATCCCTGGGTTTAGTTCCCATTACTGCTAATAATGATGATAATAATAAAATAAAAATCAACAGATGAAAAAGTGTATTGTAGAGATAGGTTATGGGCAATTATGGGTTACGGGATGGAAGTAGTCCCTTCATGGTCATTAACTACATTACTATATTTTGAAGTCCTGTATCACAATGAATCACTGCTTGGTTTTGTTGTTGTTGTTTGAGGCCATGGCTCTCCTCAGAGAACACATTTGCATTCATTCATTTCCTGTGAGATGGATTCTCCCCATCCACACTCATCTTCTGTGGAAACACACTCACAGACATACCCCAAATAATGTTTGACCAGGTGTCTGGGTACTCATGTGCCTGACATGACACAAGGATCCTGCAGACAGCTGCCCACGCTCTCACCCCTTCTCCAGAATTCCACTTTCTACCTCTTCTAGAGCCCTTTCTTTGCTGGAAATTTTGGGCTTTCAGGATTTCAACACGGATTTCAATCTTTCATAAAACCGATTTTCAGGATTTTGGCCCTTATGGGTGTTAGGTTACTCAGGAATATAATCAGCATCACTTTTCTAGCCCAGGATCCAAGCTGGGATTGCACAGTGCATTTGAGAAACATAAAAACACTGCAGACCAACTTGTTAAAGGTCCTTCCTTGGCCTTCATTGTCATAAACTTGACCATTGGAATAGTACTGATCAGCCTTTTGTGTGTGTGTGGCCCTGTGGATTGAAGCACTCTACCACAGAGCTACATCTCTGGCAATTTTTTTTTTTTCTTGAGACAGGGTCTCACTAAGTTGCTTAGAGCCTCACTAAGTTGCTGAGGCTGTCCTTGAACTTGCAATCTTCCTGACTCAGTCTCCTGAGTTGGTGGATTACATGCATGCACCTATTCTGTACCTGGCCTGATCTGTTATTTTGCAGGATGTTGTGCAGTTTGGGTTGGCCTGATGTTTTCTCATAATTGGATCCAGTTTATGCATTTTTTGGCAAGAATATCACAGAAAACATGCTGAGAAGCCACATGTTTATTAGAGGTGGTGTTTTCTTTGATTACTTGGTTAAAGTGGTGTCTCAGGTTTTTCAACTGTAAAGCAATTATTTTTCCCAGAATAATTACTTTCATAGGGGTGTACTTTGAGACTATGCAAAGGTCCTATTTCTCATGATTCATTTATCCACTGATTTTAGCATCATTGGTGGTGCCTGCCTGCAACAATTATTGCTGTTATGTTTCTTTAGCAATGATTTTCCACTTAGAACACTCCTAAATCTACTAATTGGAATTCTATTCTGGGTTTTAATCCAATACTACCATTATGTATTTTGTTACTTAAATTGTGCCAGTTTGGGCTATTAGAAGCATTTGCAGTTGACTTCTGTGTCCTCCCAACCTGCTGCCATGCTTTTTTGAGTATTTTCTTACTTTCTGACACCACAAAATGTTCCAGGGTCATCTGGTATTTATCTACCATCAGCCCTGGAATTAACCCTTTGCCTGAGGAGCATTTTTCCATTAATTGGAAAATAGTATTTAGAAACCAAGACAAGGGAGGCAGGAGTGCTTATTGCTTCTGGGCTGTCACTGCTTCTAGGCCCTCTCAAGGGACAGAGCTAGGAAATATATGTATATGAACACAGAGTTACATAGTGCACACACACACACACACATGCACACACACATTTTTGGTACTGAGGATCAAACCCAGGGGCACTTTACCACTAAGCTACATTGACAGTCCTTTTTATTTTTTATTTTGAGACAGGGTCTCACTAAGTTGCTGAGGTTGGCCTTGAACTTGCAATCCTCCTGCCTCAGCCTCCAGAGTCACTGGGATTCCAGGATAACAGGGATGTGCCACTGTTCCCAGCTTCTGTAAACAGGGGATGATAATAGGGTAGTTATGAAGGCGGAAATGGCCTAGAACCTGGGGCAGAAACATGGAGCAGAAAGCCAGGCAGGGCTGGTGGAGAGAAATCACTGGCCAGCATAAGGCCACCTGTCAGAGCTGTGCATGTTGACATGGGCTGCCTGGTGCCTCCATCCTGGAAGTGTGCAAGCCCAGGCAGGACAAGGAGGGAAGACCCAAGCTTCAGAGGGTCCTGGCTGAGAGCGCCAGAGTCTGGACTCCTGGTGGGGGGGCTTCTTTCATGCCAGGGGGGCCTCTGTCTTTGCAGGATGGCCCTTCGACAACGCCACATGCAAGATGAGCGGCTTGGTGCAGGGCATGTCTGTGTCGGCTTCCGTTTTCACGCTGGTGGCCATCGCTGTGGAAAGGTGAGAGTCAACCCTGGCCCGAGGGGCTGGCCTGAGGAGGTGTCTCCATGCACCACTGGGCTGGCTGGATGGCGGGGCCTCTCGGCTGGAGGGGGGCTGAATCCTGAGCTCTAAAGAGAACAGTTGGAGGCCCAGTTGCCCTCTAGACTGGGGTACCTGCTCTGAGGACACCTCCACCCCTCTGGAAGGCTTGGAGAGAGCCCTGGGGAGGCTTGATAGGAGTTCCTGGGTCTGTGAGGAGCCCGGGGGTCCTGCCTGCCACAGTGGGAGGGAGCAGCTCAGGGTGGGCTCTGTGGGCCTGGGGTGTGGTTGGGGTTCTCCCCGCCCCCTCAGCCTACCCCAGTGTCTGCTTGCCGGTCCCTGGCAGTCCCCAACCCCAGCCCATCCCCACCACCTCCGGTCTTTCAGCCACAGATTCCAGCAGATTCTCTGATAAGCATGGTTCTGTGAATGTGGTGGAGGCGTGCAATGGAACCCGGGGTCAGGGAGGCTGGAAACAGCTCTGAGCCCTAAGTCTTCCCTATTCCAGGGCGCTTGTCTTCCTGCTCAGCATCTCGGTGCTCTGAGAGCTCCTCAGGGTGCTTTCCCCAGGGAAAGCAGATGAGCTGGAGGAAGTTTTTACGCTCATCAGTGCCTCGCTGTGTGATGTTGGGTGGGTCACTCAGCTAATCTGAGCCTCATCCGTACAGTGTAGGCTCATCCGTACAATGGCAACCACCATTTTCAGACAACTAAGCTTTTCTGCCTGAAAACCTTAGGCACAGTTCCCAGCTCAAGGTCCAAAGGTCAGCTGTGACCATTACTTCTTCAGTACACCGTCACACTCCTCTTTGTCCTCTCCTCAGTGCTAATAAATACTCAGGCCTCCCTTTCTAGACTCGAGTGATCTCATCTTTTTTCTATTTCTACCCGCCCCACCCCCGCCACCAAGCCTACTTTTCTCTTCCCACAAAACCTTTATTTTATTTGTTTATTTTTATGTGGTGCTGGGAATTAAACCCAGTGCCTCATGCGTGCTAGGCAAGTGCTCTATCACTGAGCCACAACCCCGGCCTCAACCTACTTTTTATAACCCAGTCAAGTAGGCAGCTGGGCCGGGTGCAGTGGCACACGCCTGTAATCCCAGCAGCTTGGGAGGCTGGGGGTGTGGCTCAGTGGTTAAACACCCCTAGGTTCAATCCACAGTTCAAAAAAAAAGTAGGTAGCTGGTGTGATGGAGATGGTTCCTCTTTCCACAAAGCCACTAACTAGTTGGGTGAGTGTGGGAAGTCCCTCCCCTCCACCAGCCTTTATTGATATGAGTATGTGCAATGTCTCCCAGTGGTGTTTGCAATATTCTTCAAGTGCCACCTCCTCCAGGAAGCCTTCCTGGATTTTTATCCCAGGATTCTCCTCCACCTCTTAAGTATATACTTTAAGAATCCTTTGTTCTCTGGAGAGTTTTGGGATATGATACTGAAAAGCCAGTGGGTCAAGGTCACCCAGGCTGAGTCAGGCCATGGGAGAGGACAAAGGTGTTGAGGCCGGGACAGAGGGATAGGCAGCAGGACAGGATACAGGTGAGTGAAGTGGAAAGGGCACTTGGCTGGAAATCAGCTCCACCCTGTATTCAAGCTCAGGCTCTGTCCCCAAGGAAACAGGGACCTTCTGAGAAAGTCTCTTCCCCTATCTGGACCAGGTTCCCCTCCAGGAAAGAGGCAAGCTGGACATTCCTCAGAGTCTGTTTTCTGCCCTTGGAAGACTTCCTGGGAAGTTGGAGCCCCTCCTTTATCTCACTATTAAGCATTCAGAATGTCTCCAGAAGGGTGGTGACCTCACTTCAGCTTCACAACAGCCTGGCGGAGTAGAACCCCATTTAGCAGATAAAGAAACTGAGGCCCAGAAAGATTTTTCAGTAGTTGGCCCTTTGGGTAGTTCCATGCATTTATCTGAACACACTACGGAGGACACATTGGCACCTCTTCCACCTCCAGCAGCAGATCTCAACCCTGGCTGCAAACTGGAACCATCCAGGAGCCTCCAGGCAAAAACAAACAAACAAACAAAGCAAGCTAAAACCCCTTCCAGCTTCCCAGACTAATTACATTGGGATCTTTGACTAGAGAAATTGAGTTTTGGGTGTGGGATTCAGTGCATACCTTTTAAATGCTTCAGGAAATTCTAACTCACAACAAGGGCCTACAGCTACTGGTGATGTGGCCTAGTGAAGCAAGACAAATTGGGTTCAAAGGTGGTCACCAGTACTTGCTGGCTGTGTGACCCTGAGCCAGTTGCTTGATCCCTCTCAGTTTCCTTATCTATAAATTAAGGGTGTATTAACAATTGCTGCTGAAAGAGTCTAATGAGGAAATAAATGGTGCAGACTTGCCCTCGTGTGGTGAAGGCAGTGATGAAGGGGCACTGGCTGAGATGACAGAGGGACAGTCTGCCACACAGGCTCCACATCTGACCTCCCAGGGTTTTCTGGGAAATCCATAACAGCTAAAAATTGTATTTGTTGATACCCCCAGTGAGCCTTCTCCAGGGCAGGATGTGCACCTCAGACTGATAGCTCTGCGGGCTGCCAGCCAATCAGTGTACCCCAGAAGCGCAGGGAAGGTTTAATTCATTGTTCCCAGGCTGCGGTTCCCTTCTCCCCGCTCTCCGTAAATCTTGTCGCTGCCTTTGTTCCCCAGGCAGCCTCCCTCCCAGGTGAGAAGCCAATTTGCTTGCAAACTCACCTAATTAACTTCTGGGCTATCGTCTGAGCTGCCTTAGGTGCCATGGGGGCCCCGGGGACCCTCCCAGATCCCTGCCTCTCTCCCCCACTCCCGCCACAGGTTCCGCTGCATCGTGCATCCTTTCCGCGAGAAGCTGACCCTGCGGAAGGCGCTGGTGACCATCGTGGTCATCTGGGCCCTGGCGTTGCTCATCATGTGTCCCTCGGCCGTCACGCTGACTGTCACGCGCGAGGAGCACCACTTCATGGTGGACGCCCGCAACCGCTCCTACCCGCTCTACTCGTGCTGGGAGGCCTGGCCGGAGAAGGGCATGCGCAAGGTCTACACCGCGGTGCTCTTCGCGCACATCTACCTGGCGCCGCTGGCGCTCATCGTGGTCATGTACGCCCGCATCGCCCGCAAGCTCTGCAAGGCGTCGGGCCCGGCCCGGGACAACGCGGAGGTGGCGGCCGAGGGCGGGCGCGCGTCGCGGCGCAAGGCCCGGGTGGTGCACATGCTGGTCATGGTGGCGCTGTTCTTCACGCTGTCCTGGCTGCCGCTCTGGGCGCTGCTGCTGCTCATCGACTACGGGCAGCTCAGCGAGCCGCAGCTGCACCTGCTGTCTGTCTACGCCTTCCCCTTCGCGCACTGGCTGGCCTTCTTCAACAGCAGCGCCAACCCCATCATCTACGGCTACTTCAACGAGAACTTCCGCCGCGGCTTCCAGGCCGCCTTCCGCGCCCGGCTCTGCCCTCTGCAGTGGGGCAGCCACCACGGCACCTATTCGGAGCGGCCCGGCTGGCTCCTGCGCAGGAGGGTCTTGATGGAGGTGCAGCCCAGCGACTCGGGCCTGCCGTCGGAGTCGGGCGCCAGCAGTGGGGCCCCCAGGCCTGGCCGCCCACCGCTGCGGAATGGGCGGGTCGCCCACCAGGGCTTACCCGAGGAGGGGCCTGGCTGCTCCCACCTGCCCCTCACCGTACCAGCATGGAACATCTGAGGTGGTCCAGAAAGGGCAGGCCCCTGCCTGTGGCCCCAACTGCACCTGCGATACCTGGACACTTACTTGGCAGCTTGGGGTGGAGTTAGAAGAAGATGCCAAAATGCCTGCTGCTCGCTGCTCGCGATGTCCTCTCCCCTCAGATGGCACGGAGGAGGGAGAAACCTACTCTCCCCAAACGCTTCCTATGGGGTAGATTTGACAACCATCATCTCATTGAATTCCCACAACGCTTTGGAAGTGGGCTTTCTTAAGCACCTTCTCTTCAACAGATGAAGAAACAGAGGCCCAGAGAGTAGAGGTGTCTAGCCCAAGGTCGGTCAACTGGAAATCTCACTTGGACCTGCCAGGCTCCAGTGCCTGAATGGTTTTGCCGTCTCCAGCTGTCTCCATAAGGGAAGCACAGGGAAACTGTAAATCCTAACCAACTAGGCAGCTGGGAAGAGACAGGAAGCAAGCCAGCAGAGCTTTGATGCTCAGAACCCTGTCATTCAGTCTGTATGTTCTGTTGCTCAGGCTGCTTCTTTGGGCCTTTTGCTGGGAGACCATGGTGTGCCTCACCTGCCAGCTCCAATGTGTTGTTTTGTCTTGTTCCAAGAAGTGTCCAGGGCCATTGTCTTTCAGGATGTCGCCCTGGGGAGCCTGCTTGTTACAGGGCATTTGAGACCTGAGCCTACAGAAGGGAGGAAGAGTCCATCTCCCACCCCCATCTCCCAGAGCCCGGCAGACCCCAGTGCAGGGGCTGGGAAGCCAGGTGGAGGTATGTTTATTTACTACTGGACAAAGGGGAAGGGAGAGCACTGTTCCTGCTGTCCACCTTTGGAAACCCATGTGGAGGCCTTTCCTCACTCATCCTGGGATATAGACGCTGGCCAGCTGACTGCAGCTGGGCTCTCCTGGGGGACTCCTGAACCCCTCCCTACATGGATGACCCATGTACCTCAAACAGTGGGAACCAGGAGATCCTCTGTTCTCTTCAGCTCTCAACCAGTGCGCCTGCGCCACTTCAAGAGTGCGCCTTCTCTCCAGCAGGTGGGAGGAACTAGGTTGCCTCAGGCGCACCTGCAAAAAATCTGCAGTTGACCGGACATTTTTCCCCCTCAATCCATTACTGCTTTTGCTAAAAACTGAGTGAATGAAAAGGAAACATTTCCCGAGGTCAGGGCTCTGAGGCTCTGATTGTTTCCTTAATAACACACAATGACTTAACCCTGTTTATTCCATTCTAAGCACTGGGAACAGGGACAGAAGAACATGCCAAGTAGTTGTACTTGTCTAAACAGGTCCCCAAACACTGACTGTGTTATTTCATTCACACAAACAAGGTTGGTGATACTGGTATTGACATTTTTAAAGTGAGCCCTTAAGGACCAAGGAGCAGGGTTTGTGTGAGGACACGTCTTCTGACTGTTCTTCCTATACAGTCTCCTGCCTTTTAGGGAAGGTCATGGGCATGGCAGGAAGGAGAGCTGGAAATTCCCCCAAAGACTTCCTGTCTAATAGTGAAACAGAAAGCCCACGGAGTAGAATCCTGGTGCCCAAGATCTTGGGCTGGGAAATGAATCTATTGTGTTTGCTCTTGTAATTTCCGGCCTGACTTGTTCTGTGTATAAGATCTATGACCCATGTGTTGAGCAAGCTGCTGAGATCCCTTATGACCCTGTCCCGTTCCAAAAGTCTGGGAATGATGGAAGGGGGTCTTGCCCCTCAGTGGCCTTAGCTGGTGCCTTGCGTGATCTTCACTTTTTGTGCCATATCTGTGTCCTGAAACACATACACCTGGGAGTTGGTGGCTGTTTATGTGAAGAATTCTGACGCCAGGCTCTAAAAATAGACTAAACAAAGGGCCATCTCAAACCCCAATTGGCTGTGCCTGTGGCTGTCTGGGAGCTGTTTGCAGACACTGCTCCAGGGTGTGCTTCCTTTAGTATGGCCTCCTCCAGTGCAAAAACATAGCCATTATGTGTATTTCTCTCTCAGATGTGTGTATGAGAGAGACAGGGACAGAGGAAGAGATGGAAGGGGAGAGAGAGAGAGAGAAAGAGAGAGAGAGAGAGAGAGAGAGAGAGGAAGAGGGAGTCAGAAACCAAGGCACTCACAAAAACCAACCATCCTACCATGGTCCCTTCACTTTATTTCCCCTAAAGATGCCATGTTTTGAGAGGTGGTGACTGCCAGCAAAAGAAAACAAAATTCCTGCACACAGCGTTCACAATCCATATATTTTGTTGTATTTTTTATTTAAAACTATCAGAGGCTGCCCATCCAGAGACTGGATCTGAAGGATGACACAACCTGACGCTTTGGTGAAGACCTGGGGCCTTGTGAGTGATGGGGAACTGGTTTGTTTCTTTGTGAATGTGGTGAAATATACACAACATAAATCTTGCCAGTTTAGCCATTTTTAAGGGTACAGTTCAGCAGCCTTAGGTACATCCCCGCTGCCATATAACTATACCACTACCATGTCCAAAATTCAGCCTCCCTCCTCAGTACCCATGAAGCAACTCCTCACTCCCCTTCCTCTAGCCCCTAAAAACCCCCATTCCACTGTCTCTGAATTTGATTATTCCAGGTACCTCATACCAGTGGACTCCTCCAGTATTGATCCTTTTTTGACTGATTTCTTTCACTCAACATGTTATTCTAAGGTTCATCCATGTTGTAGCATGTGTTGGAATTTCCCTCCTTTTTAAATTTTTCTTCTTATTTTGCAGTGCTGGGGATTGAACCTAGGGCCTCACTCATGCGAGGCAAGTGCTCTACCACTGAGCCACCTCCTACCCTTCCTTCCTTCCTTCCTTCCTTCTTTCCTTCCTAAGGCTTCATAATCTATATTCTACATTTTGTGGGTCCATTCACCCAACAATGGCCACTGGCTGTTTCCACCTTTTGGCTTTGGTGAATGTATGGAGCTTTAAGAGAATGCAAGTACTTCCTAAAAATAGTGTCTGTGTGAACCCTAAGGACAGAGACCCCCAAGATCTTTCTCAACTTTGAATTTATGTGTGACAGAGAGAAGCTTCCCAACAGCTCTGTGCTCCCATGGGGCTTTGCTTCTTGATTAGAGTGGCTAAAGATTTGTATGTTCTGCCCATGGGATTTTTAAAAATATTTTTTTCGATGTTGATGTTGGTTTTATTCATTTATTTATATGGGGTGCTGAGAAATGAACCCAGTGCCCCACACATGCTAGGCAAGCGCTCTACCACTGAGCTACAAGCCCAGACCCCCACAGGATGTTTTCACGAAGCTCTTTTTATAATTACAGCTTTTTAATTCTCACTGGATTCCTGTGTCCCGACACCTAGGCCCTGTCAGGAGACTTGTATAACCAAGGCACTCAAGGGCAGGCCATGTGGCTCCCTGACGTGCCACTCTCCACGTTTGGCTTGGTCGGGTCTCCTGAGGTGACTGTCCATTCACGGAGGAAAGCTCAGCTCAAGGATGAACTGAGCATGTGAGGGGGGAACAGGGCCAGAGGCCTGTTGACACTGAGTGCCCCCACCCCAGAGGGGCTTTTGGAGGGACTCCGTGTCCTGTGGTACCATGGTGTAACAAGAGTGGTCCTTCTCATGGCGGGTCTCCACGGATGAATGGCCCCTTGACTTCCCCAAGATCACGTGGCACCCCACTGACCAGTGTGAGCTGCAGGCGGGGCCCGCCCCAGCCCCACAAACCACAGTCTGCCCAGCCCTGGGCTGTGGATCTTCTCTTGGGGCCTGGAGAACACTTGCGTTGATTTGGGTTGGAATGGAGGGTGGAGTTGGCAAAGGAGCACCGGAGCCCCCCATCACCAACCTACTGTGTATTCATCCCCAAATCAAGGTGAAAGCCAAAACGAGGGCTGCGTGGACAAGGCATTGCTATTAAGCTCTGTACCTTTCTGCATCCGTCTCCTCAGCTCACCCCTCAGAAATGCCACCAAGGAAAGACAGATGAGAGGTGACCCAAATGGGCTTCCTTACAAGCAAACAATGTTGAGTCAAAATAGTTTCCTTGTTGAATAACCCAATTATTGTTGGTGTGGGTTATTTACTTATTTATTTACAAACGCATTGCATAATCATTGTGGAAATTTTACAGAATTTCGATAAGTACAGAAAAGAAAATTGAAAACATTTAAATCCCACAAGATAAGCATAGTTGTTTTCTATGCACCTATATCTATATATTTTCAATTTCTGTAACAGCTTCATTGAGGCATCATTTGCATTCACCCATCTTAAATATATGTCCAGAGAGTTTTAGCAATTATTTACATGTGTGTAGCCACCACTACGCTCAGATATATCCATCATCCCAAAGAGTTTCCTGGTGTCAATTTATAGTCAATCCTCTCCCCTCACTCTTGATCCCAGAAAACCACCCATCTGACTTCAGAATGTCCTGTACCTGGAATCAATGTCTATAGATAGCCTCTTGGGTCTGGCTTCTTTCACTAAGCAGGATGTTTCTGAAATTCACTGATGTGGTACCATGTAGTTCATTGCTTTCTATTGCTAAGCAGTATCCCATTCTATGTATGAGTGTGAAGATGTTTTGTTTATCCATTGGTCAATTGATGGTCATGAAGGACCATCAAAAGGCCTGGGGTAGAGCGCTAACCTAGCACAGGTGAGGCACTGGGTTCAATCCTCAGCACCACATAAAAAAAAAATAAATAGAATAAAGTGATTGTGTCCATCTACAACTACAAATATTTTAAATTAAAAAAAAGAACCAGGGATGTGGCTCAGTGGGTTCAATTCCCACTACCAAAACAAACAAGCAAAAAGATGAAGAGCTGAGAGTTCCTCTCTCTTACAGACCCTCCTTTCCACCAAGTTGCCTGTAATTCAGTCCTTACTACTTATAGCAAACTGCTTCTGGGAGCCCTTTTCTGACACCCCTCAAGCTGTCCCGTAACCTCGTGGGACCCCACTCTAGCAAGTATCACAGCACATTATGATTTTTCTCTTTCCTGTCTCTGTTCACTGGATGGTAGGGAGCTTCACATT